TGTTTAAAAAAGCCTCTAAAAAAGCGCCCTCTTCAGGAGGAGGCAGGACAACGATGTGCCTGACCTACATCAGGAATTTTTAGGCTTTTAACCCTTGCTTAACTCTGCTCGAGTGATCATAAAACACCAGACTAGATGAGGCACGTCGTTCTCCTGCCTCCTCCTGTAGAGGGCGCTTTTTTAGAGGCTTTTTTAAACAGTTAAGCAGAGTCATCCACGGTGACTCTGGCAGCAACTAGCTCAGCCTGACTTCAGCTCTTTCCTTTTTCCTTTGACATTTTTTTCTTTTTATGATGACAGTGTTAAGGCTCTGCCTCCCCTGCCTCCCCTGACTGCACGTCCCTGGTTTGCTTCTATCGCTTGGATTCTAGGAAGCTTACAATAATAAAAAGAAGAAAATGAAAGGAGTGTAAATAGAACTAACATAACAGAGTAATAAAATAAACAATGAAAAAGAAACACAACAAGAATATATCAATGTGATAACCAAACAGATGGATGGGTGGAGAGCAGAGAACAAGAGGGAGAGGAGGAATCTGCCATCAATCCAACAGCCACCTCCAGTGTGGAACTCCTCATTTGGTCCCCAGGCTAACCAGCAGGCTCTTACCGAAGGATAGCAAGGTGGGGCAGATCTCACCTTGGAGGGGATGATGTCCTAAAGCAGTGGTAGTTAATCTGGTCCCTACCGCCCACTAGTGGGCGCTCCAGCTTTCATGGTGGATGGTAGGGGTTTGCTGTAACTCTGCTTTATAAATTTTATAAAGGTACTACCCTACTTTATAAATCACCATTATTGTGGAACACGTGGGCGGTTAGAAAATTTTACTACTAAAAGAGATACAAAAGTGGGCGGTAAGTATAAAAAGGTTGACTACCTTTTTCTAAAGGGTGACTGTTATAGTAGAAAAAGCTCTTATTCTGGATCCTCATAGTTGGAGTTCATTGACAGATAGGATATAAAATAGATTCTCTCTGCTGGCACAATTAGGATGGGCTTGTCCTAGCGGGATGATATTATTTAATCAGATAGCTTGATCTATGCCATTAAAGGTTTTTAAGGTCATAACTAACACCAACATAGTTATCCTAAGGCAAATCATTTGAAGCAGGAAGGATGAAGCCTATATAAAGGAATGATTAATAGTCTAGAAATTGGTTTTGTGTTCTGTATAGTAAACAATAAAAAATATCCTGCTTGTTATCCCTCTGATTTTATAACATATACATAAAATGAGCCAGGTTACATATTCTTCATTTACACGTCTTAATGGAAACATTTCCATGCTTGTCAGTCTAACCGAATCTTGTTATTTACATTTAAATTTCACAGACAGGAGTGGTACCCTTGGGGAATGCAAAGTCTGTTACATTTTAATTAACTGGTACCTTACTGAAAATTGTTATTTATTTCTTAAATGCTCCAACAGCAGAATTATGCTAAAATAATAACATACTGTAGATACAGACTTTTGTAATCTCTTACAGAAATTAGCAAGAAACCCAAGTGATGGGGGGGGGGAACGCGGACAATACTGATTGATAACAATAATGTGGCCAAAGAAAGCAAAGATAGCACCAAGAGTAATAGGTGCCTTGAGTGCAATCCCAAAACATATGGAACATCACTTGAACACAATCCTGCCATTAACCATGGGCACATGATCCCCATTGACTTTCTCCCTGCTAGTTTCCATGGCTTCCCCATTGATTTGTGGGAAAGTATCAGTCTTTATCCATCTTCACTATCCTATATATGTCATCATGTCCTCTATGGAAATTCCAGCAAGCTTTCTTTGTTTTCATACATTTATAAGCATCAACTGTTTCCTTCGTGATAATGGTACAGTCAAATACGCAGTTTGTTCTTGCAAACACTTCAGATGTTTTCCTCCGACCTTCAGTTCTAAAAAGCTTAGCTAGCTTCTTTCCAAACAGAATATTGGCTGCTCCCAATTAGTCATGTTACGTACTGTGGAGATTCCATTTATTTAGTTAATAAATATATAGGACCGCCTATCTCATTTACATGAATCTGGGCAGCAAGCTAGCAATTAGAACAAAATGAAAACAGACTAAAACCACAACCAATGATTAACAGCATAAATAGCACAAAACAGCATAAAACACCAGCCAAGAATAATTTAATACGTCACACTCAATATAACTTAAAATCAGGCTTGTCTGCATTATCAGAGTTCTGGGATTGGTAGCAAAGCCAAGTTTTTAATGCCTTGTGAAAAGCCAGCAGGGTCGGGCAAATCTGATCTGGGGGTGGGTGGGAATGATGTTTTAAAGGGTGGGTGCCATGGCAGAAAAGCCTCCCTCTCCCAGGTCCTTTCGATATATAGTGCACTCTAATGGACAGGACCCAGAACAAGCGTCTCCTGCCAGATCCAGTGGGATGCATAAACATCACCTGGGGCGAAATCAGAGGTGTTTTCAGCTAGTTCTTACCAGTATGGGCGAACTGCTAGTAGTGGATGCTGAAGACTCCACCCACCCGCCCTGACATAATGTGTGCACACATGCATAGAGTAGAGCAGGCATGCACACGCATTCACATTTGCGAACCAGTAGTGAAGGTAAGTGAATCCCACCACTGGGCGAGATGGCCCTACTTGTTCGTCCTGAGGCAGCAGAAAGTGTTCTAACCACTACTTCCATTACAATTATTAGGAGCTGAGATCAAGAGAAGAAGAATTAACAAGAGCTGCTCTTCATCAGAAATCTCAAGAAGAGTTGCTGAAACGGCGAGAACAGCAGCTCGCAGAACGGGAGATTGACGTATTGGAACGTGAATTAAATATATTGATATTCCAGTTAAATCAAGAGAAGCCTAATGTTAAGAAGAGAAAAGGGAAATTTAAAAAAAGTCGATTAAAACTTAAAGACGGGAACAGAATTAGTCTGCCTTCAGGTTTGTTCCTTTTTCCTGCTCCTTGTCTTGAGCAGCTTTATTTAAGGCAAATAATGCATTTCCAGTGTTGGATTCAGTTGTTAACAATTGGAAAATGCCATATTAAAACCAGTAACATCATCTCAAGTAGATGTTCAGAGGGGTGTTTTCTTGGTTCAAGTGAGGAGATGCTTCATGAAGCAGTGTGGGCCGTTCACTTCTAGAAGCAGAACCAACTGATGGTCATTCTTTAATTACAGTTCCTGTTCAGCATAGCCTCTCTACGGAAGACTCACAATTTGCCTTTTTCTTATACTACTGTCACCTATATGCAGAAACCATGGGTTTGGCAAATGACATGTGACTTTTCTGGCTTTGGCAAGGGACAGGAAAAGCAAGAAGAAGCTTCAGTGTTAGGTAAAGTGCCAGGTTGAAGCAGTTAATGTTGTGTCTTTGCTTAGACCAAAATAATCACATCATCTCCATGGCCTAATGTCAAAGTGAATCTAAGTTGCCTTGTAATACACCTGATGTCATAATCTCAAATCCCCAAACAGGGAACACTATTAGGTGTGTACAAGAAATTAATAAATTCCAAAGGAATTTAGAAGTGTTGCTCATTCCATGTAGAGTTCTGATCTATTTTTAGTTATAAAAACTTCATGAAGAAATAAAGCTTATATAGCACTAGATTGAGAATAATTGCTTCAAAGTATGGCCCCATAACATGCATTTTTATAAATTTAAATGCTTCAGATCCCTTTGAGATCACCTATTAGTTGGACAAATTAGTTCTTTTGCCTCTTTCTTATGCTTAATTGCAATTTAGAAAACATTATGAAAGTACATAAACTCAAATTTCAATGTGGCTGATGAAATTATAATTGCTTCTTTTTGATGGCATTGATATTACTTATTTATAATACTTTATAACAAGGTGCTATTATATTTTTAATTAGAAAAAGGAAAGAGATGGATTAAATCACTTCCTGCTTTATACCTATGATGTTTTATATTATATTTGGTGTCTAATTAGGAAAAGGAAAGTTTTAATTACACTCTCCTTTATTCATGTGGTGTTTCTTTGCTTCTATGGTTTTTATTAAGCTTTTGAAAAAGATGATCAGAACTATTTGAAATCAATATAAAGTAAAGAAAGAAAAAAAGAAAAGAAAGAAATCAAAGCAAAAGGTGCAAGAAAAATAAAGTTGAGGAAAAATTGAACAGACAAAAAAGTTCTCTATAGCATTTATAAGTACATACATCCAGGTGGTATTTCTGTGTCGTAAGTCTTTCTGTGAGCAATATCATTTCAGTAACCTGTGCTATTTTATCTGTTGTGGCTTATCTTTTATCAGAATTGTTGCTATACAATTAATTATCTGTTATTTACCTTTTATACCATTGTGTACAAAAGTTTGAGAGCTGCTGCTGCTGCTATGAGCTGTTTATTAGTGCTGTTCCTATTAGATGTTTGCTATTCTGCTTATAAGAATCTAAATGTTTCTCTGACAGAGCAGAGCTAGCTACTGAAGAAAGTCAGTTCTCTGCGGTATATACTTTGAAAAATCACATTCCATTCTTCAGTCAGATCAGAAATTTCTTGGATAATTAACCTGCCTCTAAAGGTAGTTTTGCAGAAACAATGCAATCCCAAACCACTGCCTTTGAGACAGTCTTGACTATTGCTGACTGCATGGACAAGTTTCTGCAGTTTTCTTGGCAAGATTTCAGAACTTGCTCTTGTCTCTTTCCTAGGGCTGAGCGCGACTGGCCCAAGGTCACCCAGAAGGCTTTTTTGCCTAAGGCAGGACTAGAACTGGTTTAACCATTGTACCAAATTGGCTCTCCTTAAAGAGTTTATAAGTTAATGTGGTCTTTAGGCTCTTATTAGTAAAGGATTTTTCCTAGGAATGTGCTAAAATTCAACATTGTATGTGCATCTCTTTAATATAATGCAGCCAGACAGTCTGTTATTGAAATTCTATTTTGAAACATTTCAACTTAACCTGTCCTTTTTATTTATAACAGATTTTCAGCATAAAATCACGGTGCAAGCTTCCCCAAATATAGATAAGCGCAGAAGTTTACAAAGTAATAGTTCTAGTCCACCAAGTAGTCCTCCAATAATTCCTCGCCTTCGAGCTATACAATGTAAGTCTTAAAAAATGAGTACTTCTGTCCTGTTGATCTTGATATATTTTGCAACATTTTTAAAAAATCACTCTAAAAATATTTCATATTGTTAAGTGTAATCTTAAACTTGTTTGACTAGAAAAAAACTGGATTGACCACATTGTGATCTATTTCTCCAAAAAAAAAACCAAATGCATTGGGTAATATTGCAGAAGGATTAAAAGAAAAAAGAAAAATTGTGTTTATTGGTTAATTTCAATGATTTTACAAATGTGTACTAATAGGATAAATGCTGGTGCTGATGCAACCTTTAATCTGAAGCCGAGCTAAACCATCACAGTGATAGTTGAATTTCAAACTAAATTAATTCTGTTTTTCTTTCATCTTTCATCTGATCTTCACTCCTGCCCCTAAATATGGTGTCCTCCCTTCACACCCACAAACCAAGAGAAAACAATTGAACTGGATGCTTAATCAAATATAGCACTTTGTATAAATGTAGACTTTCATGCTCTTTTAATCATTCTTAAGGTTTACTTTTACGTAAGTGTTATACAGTCAGTTCATGTAAATTCTTATGCCTCGTGGAAAATATAGTCTCAGTGTCTCTGATTAATATAGAAGTTTGATTGAATACATTGTATCTTGTGTCAGGAAAACATGACAAATAATAGCAGGATACAAGAAGACTGAGTAACATGATAAATTACTGTGTTTCCCCGAAAATAAGACGGTCTTATTTTCTTTTGACCTCCGAAATAAGCGCTTGGCCTTATTTTTGGGGAGAACTTATTATTTTGGAGGTGCAGGAGGCGGCGAGCGTGGTCGCCTCATGGCTGCTGCTGCTGCGTTGCAATATTTTTGGGGAGGGCTTATTTTCAGGGAAACAGGATATTAACATGAGGAAAATGAGGAAAAATTAGAATTCAGCTCTTTTTCTTTTTCTTTTCTTAAATACGGCCTTTCCCCATTGCTGAATTAAGGTATTTCCACTTGAGTTGGCACAAAATTATTCAGAGTACTCTCCATGCCCATCCCATCCTGACTCTACCATCTGTTATGACAGTCTGCCAAATAGTACTATCTTGATTTTCCCTGTTCACCACTTGATAGGCAAAGTGATTAGGTAATTTATGTGCCCTCCTGTTTCTGCATGCCAGCAACAAGTGGAAAAAACATCCATTAAATATAGCATGACCTGACCTGTCTTCTGCAGGTTTCTTTTCATGCCCATTCTTTTACACCCTATTTTGTTGTAACCCAAGTGTAATAAAATGTTTTAAAATGGGGGTTGTGACAGAAGGCAAATAACTACAACTATACTTAGGATTTATTTCTTTGTTCCTGCCTGTCCTTTCTTTATGTAGGATATTGATGCTAACTTCCAGCTTCTTCTACGTTTTGTTCAGGAGACAATAGGGAAGAGGATTCATTCACCATTCTGCTGCTTTATTAATACATTATTGCACTAAACCAGTAATGGCTGTATAGCTAAACCACATAACATCACTGCCATCTGAGCATTACTGGGCCAGACTCTTTAGGGGATCCACGGGAAATGGCAACAGACATGATGTAACCAGGGAGGCAAAGTGTAATGGCTACATCAACCTGAAATGTTCAAGAAATACCTACTAGTGCTAATCATCTGATAGTATTTTTCAGTTTAATGGATGGCAAAGCACAACAGAGTTTGCACACTTCACAGCTATGGTTGGATATTGTTAGCTTAAGGGGGAAACATTTATTTATTTAATTTGTCAAACATATATGAGATAACAGGTATAAGTATAAACATGGACATGAGCACATGAAATGAATACAAATAAATGGGGACAGCAGGACAGGGAGGGTAGGCATGCTGATACACTTATGCACGTCCCTTTATAGACCTCTTAAGAATCGGGTGAAAAGGAAAAAAAAGGAGTGGGATGTGGTCCACATTATTTTACATCCGTTCAGCTGGGTGTAAAATAAATCTCACTCAAAGGATGGGCATTTTAAAAAAAGGCAGTCTTCAAGGACAGGGTAGAATAGAAAAGATTTTCCATTCATGTTTTTGCTAGAGTTGGATGCAAATGAGAAAAGGACTGAAGGATCAAGCTCTGGTCTCAGGGACCCACCCAGATTGGATCCTGCAACATTATCTTGAGACATATATTCATTTGTGCAAGGAGTGAAAATATAAATATATCTTTCTGCGGGTGAGGTTGTGGATATATGTAATTTCATCCTTCACCAGAGACTTTGGACCCAAATAGAAGTGAGATTCCAGGAAGGAATTTATGAGTGTTACACAAGATTCTTCGGCCAAGAGGACATTGTCAAAGGCAGGGATTTCTGCAGTTACTCATTTCATCTACCAGCTCTGCTGATACCAGTATATTTGCACATTTGTAACTGGGCACACAATTATAGCTGTTAATTGTTGAGGTGGAAAATTTAAAATTGCTTACTTATACAGTTTTGTGCTTTGCATTTCTGTAGTATAAACAAGTGTCTTGTTGGATCAAGACATGGTCCATCAGTCAAGCATTTTGTTTCCAAAATTGGCAATCCAGAAGTTTCCTCAATTTCACAGTCAGGGGTAAATAAAGTCATGTGTTTCCCTCAGCAGAATTGATTTCTGTTGATAGAATTGGAGAGAATGATTGCTGTTCCCATGCAACTTTTCATGTTTGCTCAAACTTTCCTCCAAAAGATTGTTCAACCCCCAGAACAGATATTGAGGCAAAGCAGGCTAAAGAGAGCAAGAAGAGGAAGAAATACTGTTGTGTGAATGGACTTTTGCTCATGTAACATTCAACTCCTCCAAAGGATATATAACTGTCAAAAGTCGTCTCTGTTGACATTCTTAGTATCTTGAACTTTGAACTGTATTGATTCCAAATATGGACTTTCTGTGTTATTTTATTTACAAAGAGTTAATTGATTGCATTTGACAATTCACAAAAGAGAAATGCACACTTTCCAGTTTCTATTAGTAAAAGGATGCCAGATGTGCACTGGCAAAGGGAGATCATTACGCATAAGCATAACTGAATTGCGTCTGGAGAATTTGAAATGCTGCTTACATGTTAATGTTTTATTTCTAAAAAAATTCTGCATTTGCCTTCAGAAGGGCTGGGGGGAAAAATATGTGGACAGTGTGTAGAACTTGTCCTTTCCAGCAAAGGAAAAGAAGGGAGTGTTACATTTAGCTTCAATCTCAATGTTTTCCCATTGCATTCAATCATTAATGCTGGTTAATTATTCAGTATGTTCTGTTTGAGGATAATAAATTATCACTCCTGTTTCCCAGCACTGAAAGAGGGTATTGTCTGTCAGTTTTTCAACCTGGATGTCTTGCAAACAAAAGATTATTTTCTTCACTTTGAACACCATTTTCTTAATCCTTTGTTCCCATTATCTTCTATTCCTCCAGAGTTAATAGTTAAAGCTGAAGGAGAGCTCTTCCCAACATTAAAAACTATGTACTCATTTGGGTAAAGCTGAAGCCATTTTCTTACTCATGCAGCATATTTTCTCCCCCGCTTTGAGTTGTACTGCAATCACACAATTTAAATAGTTGATACACAATTACAGGTATCTTTTTTTTTTACGTTTACCAAGACTCTTTTTTGTATAGATAGAAATTTCAAGAGGGGTCACATTCATCTTTAACAAAACAATTTTAAAAAATGAAAAATTAATTAATCTTTTATAATAGTTCCATACTTTTTATTAAAGGTTATGTAAAACAGATTTAAAAACTGAATTCAAAAATACATTTTAAAAAAGAAAAATATATTTAGGAATTGCAGAATGTCCCCTAAAAGAAGAAAAAAGAAATTCTAATAAGAAACTTATTTCATCCCCAGCAAATACTACATTAACTGCATCTTCATTCCTTACCTCACACCATTTTCTATAAATTCATATTAACATCTCTAAACAGGAGACAAAAAGTTCTCCTTATTAATCAGCAAAGATCCAGAAATAAATTAACAAAAATAGCTTATAAACATATGTATTCTCCTTTTCCATTTAGTCTAAGTCCTCCTCTTCCATCTTCCTCTTCTGTCTCTTAATTAAACATTGAAAAAAAAGAATTAAAAACTATTAAACATTACCAGAAATAATAACCTCTTAGCCATCTATTACAAACTAGTCCATTATATTGTTAAACATTTCCAAAAGAAAAACAATCTAAATAACCATTAAGCATTGCTAGAAATAGTAACTCATTATTTAGTCATAATTAAATAAACCGGTTTTATTTTATTTTTTCTCCTGGACTTCTTAAGTCCCATAAATAAAATTCTAATTCCTGTTTTCTTCTATACGCTTTTGTCTCTTCTCTCAAAATTCTTATCTTTATCCATGTCCACTTGCAATTTCTACGAAGTAGCTCCAACAAATTTCTTATATTTCAATTTAAAAGAGTAATTGCCATTATCAATAAATAGGACTCCGTTTACCAAGATTATTTATTTTATTTACTTATGTTATTTATTTTATTTATTAGAAAATTAGATTGGACTCTCAGTTTCTTTCTTTCCGAGACCATGAAATGGGCAAAATAAAGTACTGTCTTTAATTCTGTCACTAAGCAAATAAGAGTTCAGGTTTCACCCTCATCCCAATCAGATTCATTTCAAAACAGAAACTACTTATCAGAATTGCTTGAAAGTCTTAGAAATGCACATGCCCTTAGGAAAATGCAAGCCATCTTCTGCATTTAGATTATTCCTGGAACTCCTAGAATTTGCAAATTTGAAAAGATCTTAGGATTTACTATCATATGGTTTTCCCCCTTCTTCATTTGCTTCCTGAGGAAGGAGTCTTTGTGTCTTACTCACTGTGGCCCAACATTGATAATCTCAGATGAATAGCAAGTACTATTAGATGCCTCCAAGCAGTGACGATAGGACTTTTTCTAAAAATATCCCACTATTTGAAAAGTCATGCCCAACAATTGGGGAACCATAAGAACAGGGACATGAATCACAGAGGTTTTCTTAGAAAAAGTGGAATTTTATATTCACAAAGTATTTTCATTGTTTTTTGGGAGGGTGGGGGGAGGCAATGAACAATAGTCCCTCCAGCCCATTCTAGAGTTAATGCTTTCAGGAGTGTGCAGGAACTATACATTCATTTTGTGTACTCTCTGTACTTAATAGATACTTAGGTACAATCCAGAATATTTTGAAAAATGCAGCAATATATAAATTTGTCATTCTCACAATCATGTATGGGCTGTCATTATCTTCTCGCTGTCTTCAGAACTGTTTCCATTTCTGTAAATATAATAGGAGTTGTGTAGCAATGCCAAATTCATTTTTTATTTTTAAATATAGATGGTTAAACTGGCTCAAATCAAATAAATGCCTAAGGCACACGCCCCAGACTGGATAAGTGCTACAAAATCATCAGTGGAGATTTCACACTATTAAATAGCAATTAAATTATTGAGGGAAGTAGAACTCAATAATAATTAAAGTGTTGAGGGAAGTATTACAATCGTAGAATTGAGTTAATTAAAGATGGTTCCCCAAGAAGTTATATATTCATTTATTTGTACTAGCTGTATCTAGCCCCTTTACTCCAGGAGCTGCAAGGCAGCATACAGTCTACTCCATCTTTCACTTTTCTTACTATAACCTTTTGGAATAGGATGGTGTTAGACAGAGTGATTGGTCATATTCATCCAGTGAATTTTTAGGTCTTAGGAAAGACTAGATCAGTGATAGTGAACCTTTTCGTCACCGAGTGCTAAAAAGGGAGCACTTCGTGTGTGTGCATGAGTGCATGCCTGGGCCGCAACCAGAAAGAGGAGCTGCCCAGAAGTTATGTGCGCGCCAGAAAATGAATTTCTGGTGCAACGCCGACCAGCAAGTCTTCTGTTTACTGCCGAGCATCAGTGGTGGGATACGACGGTGCCTGCTGGGAGCACCAGGTACAGTTCCGGTACAGTGCTCTGGAGGGCCCACCTGCCTGCCCGCCCTCCTTACCTGTATTTGAGCCAATTGGGGCTTATGCACATGGAGCACCTGCACGATGCTCCCCCGAGCAGCTGGAGCATCGCAGGTGGTAAGTGGTGGACGCCAGGCCCCATTGCATCATACCGGTTGCAACGGGATTTGGAACCCACCACTGCCACACATGCGCACATGCCAATCAGCTGCTCACATCATAAAATGGAAGACCAGCTCTTCCAGCTTCCAGCACTGCCACACGCACAAAGGCCAGCTGATAATCGTGTGCACATGTGCGCCAGAAACCCAGAAGAGGAATGGGTGACGTCACATATGCCAGGAGACATGGCTCCACCTGCCATGTCGCTCTGCATGTCACTAACTCTCCTCAGTCCTAGAACTGCCTAATAATACTGTATACAGGTAGTCCTCGGTTAACAATCATTTGTTTAGAGACTATTCAACAGCACTGAAAAAAGGGACATAACTGTTTTTCTCATTTAAGATCATCACAGCATTCTGATGGTCACTTGATCAAAGTTCAGACGCTTGGCATCTGGCCTGTATTTACGATAGTTGCACTGCCCCAGGGTCATGTGATCACCATTTGTAACCTTCCCATCTGGCTTCCAACAAACTTAAATCAATGGGGGAAGCCAGATTCGCTTAAGGAACACATGATTCACTTAACAACTGCAGTGATTCACTGCGGCAAAAAAAGATAGTAAAATGGGGCAAAACTCACTTAACAGCTGTCTTGCTTAGCAATGGAACTTTGGGGCTTAATGGTGGTTACAAGTCAAGGACTACCTGTAATCATTCATGCGCTGTTCTCTGCCAGGCTTTGTTGAGCTATTCCTAGCATGCAATCATTGGGCTCTGATTCAGCTATTTAAGAAAAAAATTTGAAACTGGTGTTGATTTATTATCAAGCCAAAGTACACCAGGTGGATTCATGTATATTCTCTAATTGTTTCTTCAGTGATTTCCAAAACTGACTCAAGTACAGCTAACGGACAAAGAAACAGTACATATGTGTACCAGCAAGATGTAGATATCACAAGTGAATATGAACTTCCCTGTGGAGTTCAGACAAAAGGCAAGCTGGTATTCACTAATACAAGGTGTTGGTTGGTTGGATTTCTTAGCTAAATTTGTATAAAGTGATCAGCTGAATACTTACTTGGATATCCATTCCAGCGATTTCAGATTAACAGAAATATATTTGCATATTAAATCTAGACTTTTCTCATCAAAGACATTATTTCAGTTATATCTAATGAAAGTATTCAGAAATAATAGCTTATCTGAATTCATCTAAAAACAAAGAAAAATTAAAAGCATGAAAAAAAATCACTATCTGTTGATTGACTTTCTTTTCTTACCTTCTTACCTTGGTAGATTCATTCTTTGCCTGCTTCATTTGATCATCTTCTTACCTGCTCTTTGGAAGAGAAAATTGTCTCTACAGTGGTTCTGTAATCTTAGGATAAGGTAGATGCTGAATTCTTGTTGAGATCTTTTCTCTTTTTCCAGTAACCTCAGATGAGAGTAATCGAACGTGGGGAAGAAGCACAGCTTATCACCAGGAAGAATTTGAAGAGGTGAAAAGAAGCTTTAAAAAGAAAGGTTGTACTTGGGGACCAAACTCAGTTCAAACAAAAGAGCGTGCAGACTGCAAAGAGAGGTATGGTTGATGGGCACCGTGAGAATAGACAATACAGTGTGTCTATGAAGAATTACTAGATATTTTGCTTCTTAGGAAGTTTAACAGTATGTAGATTGGATGGGAGACAATGAAAAATCACACAACTGTGAAGACACTGAAATAAATACTGTAGAGCTGCATGAATGGACAAGTCAAAAAGTACAATTGTGCATGCTGGACTGAATATTCATGAATTCTTTGTGTCAAAATATGCAGATTCAATAAGGCAACGTATTGAGTTGAAAATTTGAGGACTGAGATTTAAACCTAATCTCTTTCTCAGCTTTGTATCCCAAATATTTAAGATCATCCCCTACAAAATGGAGCAAAACAGATGTAGCAGAGATTTAGGGAAGGAGTATATCAAAGTCTATCTCTTTAGTTTGGAAGAGAGAATCTTGGCTAGAGAAAGTATGACAACTTAGATTTCAACGTTCCGAGTCTATTGTGAGCTTGCACAAGCCTCTGCTTGTTCACAGACTATCCAGTTCCCATTGCTAGGGGAAATCTCTCTTTACGTGCAGTTCCAGGGCATGGGCAGCAGAGTTGAAATATTGTTAGTAGGAGGGAGGAATGTGCAGAGTTCCTCGTTCATAGAAGTGTTCTGGGAGCATGTTATTTTGCACACCATATTCAATAACAAAGCAAACTAGTGGGCACCTCTGTGCTTCCTTCCATGGGAGTAAAAAAGCAATGATTGTGTTATTGTAATTTATGTCGTCAAAATTGGAGGTAGGAATAGAAACCTGGGTGTTTTTTAAGAACACCCCTACTTCTTACTAAATGCAAACATGAATTATACTAGCACAAAATTACAGGATGAAAAGAGTCAATTATCTAAGGCTGTCCCACGGCAGTTTGCTTTTTCTGGGTAAAGTTATTGTTAGAAGAAATTGAGAACTATCAATTACATTAAAGTCCTGCAGCTTAACTATGATTCTGAAAAAGAAATAAGCTTATCCTTATTATATTTTCTTACAAGTTAGGAAAAAAATACATTCAAACTCCAGATAATACAACTGATAGAACAACTTTGCATCTGAGGGAAAAAAAACTTTTCCTAAATTAACACATATTGAAAAATTGTGATGTTTGTTTAAATATGGCAGGCTTACAATCAGCCTGTGGCTTAGATAATTAGTCCTATAAAGTAGGTAGCAAAGGCTCAATATATTCTGTTGTGCAGGAAAAAACACATTTGCATTCTTCATTTTATTTAGTATGCCTTTAGAATCATATTTGTATAAAAAGAGTAATGCTTCTTATAATTAAGAGTTCCTCTGATTTCAGAATAAGACCTCTCTCAGATGGTGGTAGTCCTTGGTCAGCACTTCTGATGAAGAATCATAAAGGTGTCCCATTAGCTTCTTTGTTCATGGACCAAGGTAGGTGTTGAAAAATAGTTATTTTCAGGGCCCAGAAGAGAAGAGCGTTTAAATGCTTAAGAGGCCATAAGCTGTAAATCATAACTTCTAAATAGCATTGGCATGATTTTTTTTAGTGAGCTACCAACATCCCTGCCCACTACTAAAATTTGGCAGCAAATATATGTAAATCTTTTGTTTAAATCTTTTGTTTATTTATTTATAACATTAATGTATTAAAGATATACAGTATGTCCTGTTTAAAATTTGATCCTACACATTTCTCCATTTGAACCTGCCTACTTTTTATGGACTTGATGTCTGTTTGGATACAGAGTTCATTGTGGCACATAATACTGAAATGCAGTTTTCAGTCTGGGGAAGCCCTATGTTAGACTTGACTGTTTTGAAACAGGACATCAAGGTTTCTCATATACTGAAAACATTTAGCAGGGCAGGAGATGTATCGACTTGAATTCCCCAGTACTAACTGCATTGCCATTCTGAGCAATTCCACATTTTACAAGGGAAGACAATCTAAGGTTCTCTTATGCTGATGCATGAGGGTTATATCCAGCGGTGTAATCCTCTGAAGTCTGCTACCGGTTCGGTGAGCCTGCTACTGAGCGTGTGCTTTGCGCGCATGCGCATCCGAGAAACACATGCACAACACTAAAAAAGGAACATTTTGAAGCCTTCCAAGTCCGCAAAGGTAAGTAGAACAGTGAGGGGGGGAGAATCTGCTGTGGCACATGATTTAGATTAACTAGAAAGCAGGAAATCCGATGATTCTAGCTAATATAAACGGCGTGTCACAGCTGATCGTCACCCAGCTGATTTTCAGAAATACCATTTTGCCTGAACAGGTAGCATTTTTTACTACCGGTTCAGGTGAACTGGTCCAAACCGGTAGCATTTAAACCTGGTTACATCCAATGGTATCCTGTTAGTGGAACTGACATTGGTGGATCAAATTCCTACCCACTTCCATGGTGTCCCAATTCTGTGCTGGAGGATTGGGGGATTTCTTTAGATCAGATTTAGAAGGCATCAGAGAAATATTGGGAAGTTCTAGTTGTATCAAGACAATTCTGTTAGCTCAAGGTAGAATTTAGATCTATTCCATATTTATTAAATATGCCTTCTCTCCCCTAAAATATATTTGGTGTTTATAAGAGTGATTGTAGACAATATTTTATCTTGTCATATGCTCTCAGCAGTAAATTCAGATCCAGGTAGTCCTATCCTGAATCTGAGGTCCTTCTAACGGAACAGTTGAAAATAAACCTATACATACTGAATTATTTTGGACACAAAAATCAAGTGAGATAATTGTTTAAATGTTTTATTCAATTGACATTCATAAAAATGGAGGTGGATTGTGGATAAAGGAGAAACAGTGTTGTTTCACAGCAAAGAAAAAAATTCTGAAAAATCTACCAGTGTGGTTTTTAAGTTATTATCTTGCTTGCTTTTCACTAGTCAGGAATTTTGTATTACTGTGTGATATAATAAACTGTTCTTTTTATTTAAGAAGTATATCCTGATTGTACCATTGCCATGCTATCTATAATTTCATATTGGTCATTTAAAATACTTTTAACTTCTGAATATAATATATAAACACATCAATACATTTTGCATTTGTACAGAACAGAAACTTTCCCCTGAAGGTCTTGATCCTAAGCGACCAAAGCAGTTAAAATTGCCAAATCAGGCTTATATTGATCTACCCCTTTGGAAGGATGACCAAGAACTGCAGTCTGCAGAACAGGACAGCTTTGAAGGAAATTCTGCAAATTCTGCAAATAGCACTCCACAAATGACCCCAACAAATAGTATCAGCAGAACGTTACAGAAAAAGAAAACGGACACTGTATTGTACGGTTGTGCTGTCCTTCTAGCCTCTATAGCTATAGGCTTAGATATTAGGGAGCCAAACAGATTGCAAAGTGGGGATGAAATGTTGCCTAAGGAGGAAAAGAAGAAACGTGACAGCCTGTTTCAGCGAGCGTCGAAGTTTCGGAGAAGTGCAAGCCCTGTGAGATTGCAGCCTAAGAGAGAGGAGGCGTGTGTCCCTTCATCAGCTCCAGGTGCAAGTACGGTGAACCTCCTGTCCATATCTTCCATTTCTACTAAATGCCTCCTTCAGCCTGACCTTGAGGATGCAACTATGAGCACAGCGCCTGGCAGTGAAGACGTCCCCATTGAACCTTTTTTGCCTGGAAGTCAGACAGGCAAACAAGAACAACTAGACAAAGTTGATCGGACTGTCTGTCCTGATTTGCCATCTCCCAGTCTTCCTTTGAAGCAAGAACCTCAATGTGCAGCCGGTGCCATTTCTTCGAAAGTCAAAGTGTGGGGTCATAGGCGGACCAGGTCAGATGGAAATGCGTGTCATTCCATAAGTGAGTAAAGTGATATTTTTGGTGGGTGAGAGAGAGGGTTCAGTCTGATGAATAACAAAAACAATATTGTAGCTCATAAGCGTCAGGCAGAAAAGAAACAGTGGGAATTATTAGGATTGAAAAATAGCTGACGTAATCATGTTTCAACTTCAATATTTCAAGGTAGAAACTTAAGAGCCGTGGTGGCACAGTGGTTAGGATGCAGTATTGCAGGCTAATTCTGCTGACTGCCGGCTGCCAGCACTTCGGCAGTTTGATTCTCATCAGCTCAGGGTTGACTTCCATCCTTCCAAGGTTGGTAAAATGAGGACTCAGATTGTTGGGGGCAACATGCTGATTCTGTAAACCACTTTAAAGGGCTTTAAAGCACTGTGAAGCAGTATATAAGTTTAAGTGCTATTGGTGTTGCTATTAATATAGCAGTTGATTAGAAAGACTCCAGTCTCTAAATTCCAATGCGTATTTTCTCTCAGAGAAGACAAGCTAGGGGGAAAAACACAGTGTGAGGCAGAGGGGCCGAGCTCTTAGAATGGTTCAGTATCTTGTTGTGGAATTAATGTATATGTTATTTTCTATGTAGCAGCACTGTAACTCTGCTTTATATTTCTCTTCGATGTCTTTCTCTTCCACTCAGCTAATGGAATTTCTAATGAAACTCTTGGGAATCTCCACACATCTGCTACGCCACAAACAAACTTTCAAAATGACCTTTCACCAGGGAAGCAAGAAATTGTCAATATTATTCCAAGACCTCGACCTTCTTCTTTAAGAAGCAGATTGGATCCTTGGCTGGCTATTTCTCAAAATATAAATCCAAACCCTTTTGAAACGGGTAATTTAGAGGCCAACAGAGATTCAAAGGCTGAGTCACTGACTGATACCAAGGAGAGAACTAAATTCCACATGACGTCTTTATTGGATATGGACGTGGAAGGTCAGAATAGTGACTGTACGGTACCTTTGTGTAGGATGAAGAGTAAAGCAGGTCGGCCATCAATATATGAACTGGAGAGAGAATTCTTGTCTTAAGTGCCTTGGAATTTTTAGCCTGTTTTAAGAATAAACTTTTATGCTGCTCTTTTCTAAATGTTGTGATCAGTAGAGTTTGATATCATGCTAGATAGATGAAATATTACAGGCAATGATCACTGTAATCCCGTAGGGAGTTTTATTGATTCTACCATCGCTATCCTGAATGAATACACATATGTGGATGTTAATAAAGTTTTTCATAATTTTGATTTTTCATTCTTTTTTGCCAAATGTCCAGCTACCTTATTTAATTAATTTTCTCACCAACCATTTGAACTGCAATACATTAAAATCCCATTGCACTGAATAGATGTTTTTCTACAGAGAGAACTCCATTCTGAACTGTGGTTTTCTTGAGACACCCTTGTAAAATTGTATCATCTTTAATACTACAAGAGTTGCCAATCACATTTGGCCAATATTCATTGGAAACGGCACAGTTCAACTTTAGGATGGTTTGTCAAAATCAAAATGAATGTTATGCTAATTTTGACAAAGCAGTAACTTTTATAACTGAAATATATTTTGGCTAGGCAACTTTCCAAGACAGTAGTTTCATTAAAAATAGTTAAGATTTTTCATGTAAATTTCTATTATCTATGACTGAAGAATTATTCAGTTTGCTTGTGTCAGTTTGTCTGGTTTGCATATTTCTATAGTGAATGGCATATAAACTGAATCTATGAAGTATTTCCGACAGTAGTTATGGGGTAAATGGAAAAGATGGAGATGAAAAATTTTATGTCAATTTCACTAAACTGAGTTCTCCAGACATGTCAAATTTCAACTCTCACAATTTCCAGGCAGTGTGACGAAACTCACTTGGAGGACACCAAGCTGAGATGACTGATTTAATATAACAAAAAGCTTAAAAAGTTTAAAGGATTTTAGTTATTAAAAAGGCTTCTATGGAAAGCCTGTTTTCTATAGCTGACTTTTCCTATTTAGGAAGGCTTTAAAAAGTCTGATCAAACTGGCTTTTTGCCCTGTGTCAAAATAGAACTATTAATTATAATAATTTTTAATTTATTTATTGATAGAAGTGATTACATGGGCATTTTGACTTAAATTTTACTTTGATCAATTGCTACTGTATGCATTTTAAATGAGTTCTGGAATGCATTTTAAGATAGGAAGCATTATTCAAATATATCTTTTGAATGACATATTGCTCTTTTATGCCATTCTGATGGATCTGACTACATTGCAGAAATTATTTAGCATGAAATTTTAACATCTAATGTAAAATGAGCATCTAACATAGAATAAAAACTCAGTTAAAAAAAACCACCAGTAACAACAATCATAAATGCACATACGGGGCAGCTGCACACCACAAGAGTCACAAATAACATCCTGTGTAGTAGGCATCAATCACTTTCTTCCTGTTTGAGACCTTTTCTCCTTTGTGAAGTTTTTTTTTCCCCAAAAGCATCTGAGCATTGCACAAGGTGGGGAGGGAGAGAGAGAGAAGATCAGGAAATGAGATGAGAGAGAAGGTGAAGCAGCTGCTTCAGGTGGCAGATTGGGGGGGATGATTCCAGAGTTTAGAAAATCATGCCTGCTGCTGGCATATATGAATTGTTTGCTCTAGATGCCCAGAGCTACTATGGTGCTGTCCTGAAGGAAAGGCACAAGAGGCATGATAGGAAGTGTTGACCGTTTGAGAGCTGTATGCAATGAAATTTTATTTTAATGTATGCCGATTAGTGTGTATTCAAAGTGACAATAAAGTTATTATAAGTCTAAGAGCAGAGACGATAAGGGAATATGAGTAGGAGGTAAGTGGGAGGTGAGACTGTATTCCACCTTCTTTTTCTGATGGGTCTACAAACCCATTTGAAGACAAGAGACAGCCGACAGCTCAGAGATAGCGAAGATCCTAGTCAGTTCAAGTCTTTAGATGCTGGTATCTTCCCTTACACAGTCCACCTCACCTCACCTTTTGTTCTTTTCAGCTAAGTCAGGGCTGTCAAACTCCTGGCTCGCGGACTGGATGCGTCACACGCTGGCCATGCCCACCCCTGGTTTAGCAAAGAGCAAAAAAGTCCCGATATGTCACATGCTGCTGCCATGATGACGTGAGTTTGACACCCCCTGAGCTAAGTATTGCAACAAGGACCACTATTATGGCACAGAGCAATAGTCAAGAATGCAATGAGAAAATGCATCTGTCAGGCCTGCAGCCAGGTTCCTTTTGGATCTTTGGCCTGCCACACTTCTATCTACTATGCTGTTTCATAGTGGGGAAATGGAAGGGGGATAGTAAGGAGTAGGATGTGATGTAATCAAAACAAAACTCCTTTTAGATTGCCAAGGTCATCCTTTGTCTTGGTACCTCTGCACCTGACCGGAACTGGATGGGTGGAACTGCCAGCATGGCAGTGGGAGATTGGGCCATGTGATGGACTTGTGGGTGTGGGGGCAAGATCTTGAACTTTCAACTGGGTGGGGAAAACCAGGAAGCCTTCAGATTTGGGTTTTTCCAGATGTGCCAACATGGCTCTCTTAATAAATTGGAACTTTGAGCAATACTNAATACTTTGCCTTGGACTCTGATTTAATTTTGGATGCTATTTGGAACCCTGATAGCACCTTTGGGGAGAGCATGAAGGACTTTTCTTGGAGTATATAGACACTGTCTTTTACAATGAGCCTTTTAGTTGCAGGGAGACTGAAATGATACCTGATCTTCCAGTTAGCCGGAGTGATAACTATTGCATCATCCATATAATGATCTGAAATGGATGTAACCATTCAAAGAAAAGTGGTAGAAGAGCAAGAAACAACTGTTGTTGAGTTTAGTTCCTTCAACTTAGATGAACCTGGATTATGGAATTATTTGAGTAATAGCTTAAAGGATTTCCTTATTCTAGAGCTACAGCAAGCAAACAAAAAAATCCCACTTCATATTCACGTTGTTAAGCTAGTAACATGGTTGTTAAGTGAATCTGGCTTCCTCATTGACTTTGCTTGTCAGAAGGTCACAAAAGGTGATGACATGACCCAGGACCCAGCAGCCATTATAAATACATGCCAGTTGCCAAGTGTCCGAATTTCGAGCATGTGACCATGGGCAATGCTGCAATAGTCATAAATAATGGTCATGTCACTTTTTCAGTGCCATTGTAACTTCCAAAGGTCACTAAATCAACTGTTGTAAGTCGAGGACTACCAGTAGTAATTACTTCCAACCCATTACTGGCATAAATTTCCCAATGGTGATAAAGTGGCCTATGGCCTATATCAGTGATAGGTAACCTTTTTGCCATCGCCCGCCAAAAGCGAGGGGAGTGCAGGGGGGTCATGCGTGGGTGTGCCCACACCTATAATTCTATGCATGCAACCCTCCCAGTGCATGCACGGGTGACCCCCCCATGCATGTGCGTGCAACCCCTGTCCTCCCCCTGCTTTTTGCCCATGATGGACCTCTTTTTCTCCCTCCCCAGGCTCCAGAGGCTTTCTAGGAGCCTGGGGAGGGCAAAAACACCCCCCAGAGGCCCTCTGGAGGCTTCAGGAGGCTTCTGAAAAACAGCCGAAAATGAAGCCCAAAATCTGGAGCTGACAGGGCAACACCTTGCATGCCCTAACCAATGACTCTGTGTGCCACCTGTGGCATGTGTGCCATAGGTTTCCCATCATGGGCTTATATATTCAGCACACTGATTTTGTTGCAAACTCTTCTAGTCTCATATTCTGGCTACATTGGGTTGTATAGGAACAAATTATCATTATCATTTCCTGCTAAGCATTAACTTTGAAAACCTCACACGTTGAGCCGTTCTTTCAAATATCACCCTTTTAAATACTACAATTTTATCCTAGAAATCAAATTGTTTGATAGGATACAAGTGTTTCAGAAGTCTGGATAACTCTGGCAGGCAGCTGATTAGTTGATTCTTAAAATGGTCACAGAGTTCTTGAGAATGATGGGTGCTGTTTTTTTTTCCTGGGGAAAACATTGGTTTTAATTCTCCATATGCTAAAGTTATCTGTTTCGTTTCCTTGTGGATCTACCATTGGATTCAGCGGTTGCATTCAGACACCCATCATGTGAAAAGGGGGCAGTTAAGATTGAGTAAGTGCTGCCACTTACTGGGTTGTTCTTGATGGGGCATAGTTTTCCCTAAAATTGAGAATACTTCTTGATATTCCAGAGACTGAGGTGCCTATGGTGAGTAGGTCTTCTGTTTTCCCGCTTCCATTCAGCAGTCATGTTATTTCTTAGAAAAGTTAGACTAGAGAGCTGAATGAAGCCTACCCTTAAAACACTCTGGATGCAAAAATAAGTTGGGTCAAATCAGGTGATTGGCTTAGCCAAAGATGGTGTCTTGTTGCTCTTACCCAAAGAAATTCAGCACATATGCTCTGGGATAGGAGTGGGAAAATTGATTGATTGATTGATTGACTAATGCTACCCTTAATATTCAGCACCTATGCTCTGGGACAGGAGTGGATTTATTTTATTATATTATATTATTATTTTATTTTTATTTTATATTTTATTTTATATTTTATATTATTATATGTTATTATTTTTTGACTAAAGCTACCCTTAACATTTCTGTGAAACTGTGAGTCATGAATGCATGTGCTTCTTTTAACTAAGAGATCCTTGGTGCTTTCTGAGCTAGCTTGTTTTCTTGCAGATGTTTCATTACCCAAACTAGGTAACGTTTATCAGTGTTAGTAAGGAGTGCTATTTGCTGTCATTTTATATTCTAGAACTGATGATGTTACCTAGTTGGGTAATGAAATGTCTGCAAGAAAACAAGCAAACTCAGAGAGAAACAAGGGCCTCTCATTTCTACCCTGAACTATAAATATTATTTATTGGCTTTTTTTAACTGTAATTTTGCCTATATTTGCCCTGCTTGTCCTGCAGTTTTCAACTATTTTTCCACTATGAAATAACAAATGTATACCTTGGTTTTTCAGCAATCCCAGCCAAAGGAGCTATAAAGGGAACAAAAAGGGATGAAGGGATAGGTTACACATTCCCAAATTCGGCTCTTGGAGCAAGACCAGTAATGGAAACAATCCTATGGATGTTTAGAGTAATAAACCTCAATCTTACACAATTCATTACCAGCCTTAGCCTAAAATGGAATCTTTGTTTTATTTGATTTGGCCATTGGTGGTATTCACACCTTCCCTACAGGTTCGCAAATTCTTCGCATGCGCAGTACTCACACATTATGTCGGGGTG